CCCCCGCCCCCAATTTAATTCCCGCGGAAATTTCGTCGAACGCGCGCGCGCGGAATTTTCGATTCGACTCTCCGACACAGACTGCGAAGATTCTAACAAAGAACAACTGCGACTGTAAAACAAAGAAGTTTTTCTGAAACGTACGCGACGAGACGAGACAAGACGCGACTCGACTCGACTGACGTTTCATCGTCGCGTAATTGATGTACGTTTCCCCTCGAAGTCGCCTTAAGTGGTCGTTACATTATAGATTCATCCGACCACGTTATTACGGCCGATAAAACTTAGAAGGCGGGAGAGGAAGCGTCGTCGCCGCCGCCGCCACCGTCGCTGCGCGAGAGAACATCTGCGAGACACACCGCATACCGAGAAAGTAGTCGTTTGTGTCGGAATTGGTGGCCTTCGGGGACACATCTTCCTCGTAGCCGGTACTTAATAATCTTGTAAGAGTATAACGCATTCCCAACTGCTAATTAAAGCGTGTTCAGCCGAGTTGAACTTTTGATTCTACTTTTGACCTCAATATTGCATTTAACGGCTATTTTAATATTCTGAAGTCTATAACAGTCTCTTTTCAATTCTATTTCATCTGTTAACTTTGTCAAAGAATTCTCTTTAGAACCTACAAGTGGCATTTATGCTGTCATTTAGGGATGTAAAGTACCGTTGGGATTTTGGTTCATGGCAATAACGTGACTTCTCTACTTTTATATCTGTTCTACAATTGTACCTACAATTTGTCCAAGATGTTCGCGACACACGGCTTTTGTAGCGTATTAGTGAGATTTCGAGTCTTCCTTTGGATTCCTCACAGCGAACATCGATGCGCGAAATTCTGAGCTCTTCGGAGAAACTATGAAGAGACAAGGAGCTATTCGACACGAGAAGTACGTATCCCTCGATTCGATTGGAATGAATTAATTGCTCGCAAACAAGCAGTTGCGACTCGACGTGCTGAAGGCTAATAATCCGTGCGCACATAATGTCACGATTTGTCTGTTTAGCTGTAAAATATCTAGGATACACGGAGGCGTGATCGCGTTATTTTCGAGTCGTAGGTCAGACATGGTGAAACCGATATAACCGCGTTATCGGTTGGGAAATTTCACATGTGTATCGGCGTCGCACAGTTCACGAGCGCACGAGTCGCGAAACACGGAGAAAACAAAGCATGAAGGTATACACTGGGAAAAAAAAAATACTTAAAAATTTATTCGTGCGCACGGAAAAGAAATCTAGTTAGATTAAAATATCTGGTGAAGTATGAACGAGAGCCAGGATTCCGATTGGAGTTACCGGAGTTCTGTTAAAATTAACAAGATTCTAGTCAACCACACGCAAAAAAATATTCTGTAGTAACAGCTAGAAACTTTCTGTTACACGAGGTTCAGTGCGATAACAGACAAGTCTGTTCCAATAACTGAAGAATTATTCACATCAATGATTGCTTTTGATTGAAGGAATTAAAATTTTCCGTTCCAAAAAAATGGTTATCGCAGACGATTATTCTGTTGTTCTCACAGAGGACCGAATGGTACATAGAAACGACATCAACAGTTGTTGCTATGGATAGCGATTCGTATTGTTAGATGAGCCATATTTTCGCAAAACTTTTATTTCGTTCAAGGAAACCATGTCATTTAATGAAACAACACTAATGTTTTAAATAGTATTTTTTAAAAGTTTCTTTCAAAATTTAGTAATTCGATTTGTTTAATTTGGATTTTCTTGGATTTCTCTACTTTTTTGTCTGGATTAATCATTATTTTCTGTTAAAAATTTAAAAGTAATTATCACTGATTCACTACATTACATCAATATTCACCGCGTATCGAATGCATTGTTCCAATATCTGTCAGCAAGTTATCCAACAAACACCAAGTAAAAATTATATAACTATTATTTGGTGTTTGCTAGGTTATAATATACTGTGAGCACTATAAGGATACATTATATAAGCATAAATCGTAAGAATATCGTTGGAGTCATCGGGAATCGCCGCGTGCCGCTCGATCGACACGTTAGGCAACACTTTATTAACGGAGTCAGGACATGGATGGTTGGACCGGGTGGAGTATACCGCTTGGGATCGAAATTATTGCGGGAGGATTCACGAAAGTTTTGAGTGTGTTGACAACCTTCGATACTTAGCTTATGAAACATGAGAAAATTAGGAAGTATATTTTTTAAATATTGTATTTTTCACATTTCAATTCGGTTGGGGTGACCGAATATACGTTTGGCACAACAGAAACTTTCCAACAAAATTTCTTTTCTGTAGCAACCGATTTTTCAGTTGATTTCTCAGGAACCGAAAATTTCCTTGTTGTCATAACTGAAGTTCGGTAATGCCAATCGAATCATTTTTGCGTGCAGAACTTGCCACTTACAAGCTGAACAGTTGAATGTTCTGGTTAACCTGGATCCTGTTAACTCGACTAACTTGTTAGCCCATACTTACTCAGGCATTTGGTTAATCCGACCAAATTTCCTTTCTTTTCCTTCCGTGCGGAAGATAAAGTTAATTTTTCGCAGAAATATACCCTATTTCACAAAAATAAACTTTATCTCGCAGAAATAAACTTTATATCTCGCAAGCAATTTTCAAGTATTTTCCTCTCGGTGTATACCTCGACGATCTCTCGATTAACACGCGAGCGACCGTGGCGTTCAAGAGTCCACTATGAAGAGAAGGAGGAGGAGAAGAATAAAAAGAGGAAGAAAACGGGGAAAACACTTCGCACGAACACCGAGACGAGACGACATCCAGCGATCGCGGGGCTAAACGCGATGCAAAACGCGCCCTCGGCGCTACGTACGTTTTATTCTTGTCGATCAAACCGATCAACCACATGACGCGAGGTCTCTAACGAACACTAGCGTCCGGTATAAATGTCGCGCTCCCACGGGTACGCTTTAATTATCCAAAATTGACGTCATATCGGAAAATATTCGCAATTTTCCTCGCGCACACGCGTGCCGCTCTCGCCGGCACCGATTGTCAGCTTGTAAACGCGATAGAAGAATCACGATAATCGACTTTTAATATATTGTCAGTTCGCGTGCCGGCGCTTCGGCGCGCTCGCGTTACGTTCCCTCTTACGTCATCGACGCTAGAGCCAGTTTAAACGAGTCGAGCGCGGTGCATAGACGTATGTAAAATCGGAGTCCTTCTATTCCTCCACCTGCGCTCGCACGCCTTGCCCCCGTACGTTCCGTTCCAACGTGCCGGCCCGAACGTTTACACCCCAACGAGTCTAGGTCAGGAACGTTGATGACGACAGCTACCTACAACGTCTGACCTTAGCTCTAATTTTAAATATCTCGCGGGGGTTGACTTGCGATGCGGCGCAAACGCGACCGCGCGGTCGAATCCGCGAAAGTCCGCGAGACTCTCTACGCGATTCCCCAACCTGTCCACGCCGACGTGATGTCGACGTAATTATCGCCGTTTCGCGGAAGTTAATTACGAGAGGACGGTCCTCTACTGTTTGTTCTTCCCCGTTTCCGCGACGCGGTTCCACGCTGCAAATTGCGCACCCCCGTGTCGGCCACGCGTAAAGCACGGGGCAATAATCCGTGGGGTAAGAGAGGAAAGAGAAGAGACCCGCTTCCGGCATATTTTCCATCCGTTTTCTTTCCCGGAGCGCGCACAGCACCGCGCTATTGAAAGAGTTATTGTCATCGGACCGTTTGTACTGCGCCGCGTGTACTCCTGTCATTCGATTGGAGCCGGTCGGTGCGCGCGAGCGCGCTCGTGGCAGCCGGCGCATCTGTGTATTTATTTTCATTGTCAGGTAGGCGTTACGTAACGGCCTGTCTTCGGAACGCAGTGGTACACGCCGGCGGCGGCGCGCGCACGTTATCTCTCTCGAGAAAATTCTCCGGCGCGAACTTTCCCGGCAACTCGATTTCGCGCGCGCGACGCGATATGAAAATAGCGCTGAACTTCGCCGTGGACTTGTCGTCGCGGGGTCTGGAATAAACAAAACGAGCTCTATATTCGCCGCGCGCTTCATCCCGCTTCGTCGGATATCTCTCTCTTCGTTGTATCATCACGCCAACTTTTCCCCTTATATCGAATCAACGCGGCCTTGCGTACGGTATTTCCGCGTCCACCTTGCGCGCGAGGAACGTCAATGACCGCACAAATTTATGTCCGTTCGAGAACGCGCCTCGAGTTTCCACGAGATTGTGCAACGGAGATGAGAGACAGATGACGACGGCGACGACGAATGTATCGTTGATCTCTTGAGATTTGTTCTCAAGAGTAACTGTCTCTCTCTCTTTCTCTCTCCCCCTCCCTTTCCTTTCCCTCTCAGGCTTTCATCCCCCAACTCGATTTATTTATATTACGTACTCTATACGTGTTCAGGGAATTTCAATTCGGAAAGACCGCAGTATATTAATGCAGGATAATGTTTCGAGTTAGCGTGTTTACGCATCCGTATATAAACGTCCTCGTGTATAAACCACATATAGAACGGCAAATACACTTAAGGCGGAGCGTGAGACGGGAATAATGTCGGAGTGACATAATGCTTATCTAACATGGTCAAGATTACTTTTTTCCCTCAACGCGGTCAAGATTACGCGCATGGCTGGTTAGCTAGCTAGCGCTTCATATTTGTTAATTAACTTCTTGAATACTATCGTATTTTCGAAAGCACCTTTCTCTCTCTCTCTTTCTTTTCTTTTTTTCTTTCTTCCTCAGACAAACTCCGATCGTACACCGGGGCCTATACCTGATGTTCCACTCGGAATATTGATCAAAATTACACATCTACCATCAGGCAAAACCGCAAAACGTCGCTACAAAAAATACCGCGCCTTCAACGAAGCTGACAATCCCTTCCTCTATCTTTTGTTTCTTTCTCATCCTCACCTCGCGCGTCTGTACGTCGGCGTCTCTCACTCTCTCCGCAACGCTCTCGCTCGCTTTGACGAGCTCGGTCTCCGCGTGCTCCTCCACCAGCGTCTGCGAGTGCCGTCTACCCTGCACTTCCGTGGTCAGCTCTTGGTAGCAAGACTCGCCGGAGCCGCGTCGGCTGCCCGCGATGCACATGGCACGACGGAACAGCCCGGCGACGACGGCGCACAGGCCGCACTGCATCCCCGTGGCACTGCCACGGCTGGAGAGCGAGTCTCCATTGGGTCGGCGGCGGGTCCGAGTCCCGCGGGAGCCGCTGTCACGTGTTTGGGCCGCCAGCTTCGCGCCTTCGTCTCTGCCTCGTTGCGCTGTGCACTTTTGTTTCTTTCCACCTAGCCTCCACAGCTCACGATCTCGCCGCGTCGTGCACTTGTTCCTGCTTCTCTTCCTCCTTCTTCTTCCTCTTCTTCCTCGTCTTCTACTATTCCACCACCTCCACTTTCTCTTCCTTTGCCTGCTTTCTCCGCCACCTTTTCTCCTTCTTCCTTTCGCGCTTTCTCCTCACGTCATCGCGTCCCCGCCGACGCACACTACCGCGTACGCACTCTCTCGCACACCACCCTCACACGACGACGACTCGCGTCGCCGCTTCGCGCGACTGGCGGCGGCGGCGACGGCGGCGGCGGCGGCGACGGCGGCCGGCCGCCCGACGCCTGTGGCCGCGTTTTACTCTACCTCCAACGGAGATCCGCACTCTCAACGACCTGGCCGCGCACTGCCGGCACTGCGCGTCACCTGCACGACAGAGCCGGTGGAAAGAGGATCGTTGAGGCTCGACCGAGAGGTCGGGAAAACGCGAGCGGGATAGGAAGCGACAGATAGAGCGAGAGAGTGAGCGAAAGGGGGAGGGAGCGTAGTAGAGTACGAGTATATTTCTCACTTTGGGATCAAAGTCCCTTCAAGAAGCACTTGCATGACTTCAGAATGCGCGACGTGCATGTGTGCAACATAAACAAGTCTCAAGTTTGGGATATATAACGTAAGTTTACGTAGAAGTGGTGACCGATTGACGCGTACGAGTTTTCAAAGTGGTACAAGAAGAGCGAACAAAAGTTCACGATGAAAAATTGTAACACGGAATATCCGGTCCGTACAATGGAGAAGGGAGCAAACTTGAAGCCGAGAGACTTCAAGTGGGAAAATAACGAAGCAAGATTGCTCCACGACGGAGAAAGTGAAGGAGAACGAGGCGTCGATTCGTTATTCCCGAGTAGAATCTGAATACACGAGAGGACAGCACAAACTGAGAGACACAAAGAGCCGTAATAAATACGATAATAGTACGAGGAATATCGAAATTACGATAACTGCGAATCATTCATCCCTTGGAGTTCTTCATGTCAAAGACTCTCCCGATAGATGCACCGTAAAATTGCTCGATGAAAATCGACTCGAAACGATCTCCGAGAAAAGAGACGGTGTAGTACGAGGAGAGAAAGAGAAGAGAGAGAGAGAGAGAGAGAGAGAGAAAAAGAGAGAGAGAATATCGATTGCTACAATGGATGTTTAATGAGCGCGGAAGAAACACGTCCAAGAGATGACAACGGAACCCCTCTCGATGCACGTGCGAATGCGACTCGAGAAATTCGACGGCTGGCGAACGAGAGGGAAGGGAATTGCGCTACGTTGCGCCGATGCAAATAGCGAGAGGCTGTCCGTTATCACGTGGAGAGGCGACTGTGTGTACGTCGCGCTGAATTTTAATCAGGCAACACGCCGGCGAGAACTTTTCGCGTTAATGCTCGCGAACAAAGTTGCGCGACGCGCGTCGCCGCTCGTAACACGCGCCAAAATGATTTCTCGTCGCCTTCAGCCGAGAGACCGTAGAACGTGTGTGTTGCGTTTAATCCTGACACTTTGCACGCACACCGCGAGGGTCTCGCGTTGTCTCCAGAAGCGACATCAAATGCGGAGAAACAGAGATCAAGTGTACTCTTCTAATTTTGTCCAAGTGGAATTTCTCATTCAAAGCGAGCGAAAAGTGGCAGTATTTTTACTTGAAGCGATAGCGAAAATACTGCCACTCGAAATCAGCAGGACTGAACGTTTCATTCGAGCTTCGAGTGGATTCTGATTCTGTATCAGCGAATTAGAGTAAAATATATTCATGTGACGCTGGAGTATCATTAGATTCACTCCAATTTCGAGTGAAAATACTCACTCGACGATTAAGAGCGCTGAGAATCCGCTCTACATTAATGAAAAATCACTTCAACTCGATGGTGGTTCCATTTTTTTCGAGTGAGATTTCGCTTAGAGAGATTTGGAAAATAAAGAAATGAAAAATGACTTTTCGCGCGTATCAGTCTGCTTCTTTGTCTGCTCCCAATGGATCTTCCTAAGTGTGGCCGCATCGTTAGAAATAAGTTAAGAACACTCGCACACGGAGAAAATTTTGTAACAGAAATTACTGTAGGATTTTGTAGCCAAGGAATAGATCGACATCTGCAATAATTCGCTATCCTTTCGCTTCGTAAGTGCTACTTAAATTTCAGGAACAGTAAAATATAAAATTGAAACACTTGCTATGTTCCTAGTAAAATCTGCCATTATGTTTCTAAAGAAATTTACCATATTTCTTAGCAAGACTGATCATACTGATGACAGTCTATTCTTGGATCACCAAAAACATAGTGAAAAGAAATAGAAATTGAAAAGAATTTGTATGAAAAAAAAGGAAAAAAAATTGTAACTTCTCCGTGTATATGAAGTCGCGAAATATTATATCCTCACAAGTAGATGAGAATAAACCTTATAGAATGAAACGACGTCGCGAGAGATCTTTGAGGAACGGCCAAAGTTACGAACTGACGCGTAATCACGCGGCATCTTAATTAATGACCGCCACAGGGGGAAAATCGATGGGATCGCTCGCAAGCGTCAGCTGAGGATTACAAATATGAGCACGCGATAACGGAGTAAATCGCGATCGGGCGATCATTATGTCGGTGTGGGCCCAACGCGACGCGAGCAAAACATAACTCTAACAGGCGGCGACACTACTCCCGCCCTGACTTCGTCATCGGCGTTTTCCGCACATTATTGCGAAGGGTACGGCGACGCTTTGCGCGATCCTCTCCCGTCCTAAGATAAGATAGGAGAACCGCCGGCTCGGGCCGTCCTGTGATCGGGCAGAAATAAAAGAGAGAACACGCACACAAAGGGCACCTGTCCATCCGCGTTCCCTTTGTTGTCGCCGACTCTTCCACGGTGTGGAGCCTCTTTCTCGTCTTACGGGACAATAATGATGGAAATGCGACGCTTTCTCGGCGCGAGCGCGCGGCATCACGAAGTGTGATTTTCGCGAACGTGCCGTTTGTTTTTGTCTCTCCCTCTCTCTCTCCCGCCACTCTTTCTCCCTGTCTCTCTCGTATACCGTACAGCGCGAAATTATCACGCAACGAGACAATCAAAATGGAATCCCTTGCGATTGTTCCATTAACAATCGTTTTCTCTCTCGCGTTCTCCGTCTTTCTCTCTTTCGCGATTAACTCCCACTCCCATAACTGCGTGCCGCATAAACACGATCACAGCGCAATTTGCGAACAATCATCAAGAAATGAGCAAGGCGGGAAGACGAGGCGGGCTCGTCGAGAAGTTCAGAAGTCATCGCGATTGAACCTGGTGGTTTTCGTGCGAGAGTCTTTCTCTCTTTCGCCTACCGCCCTGAGGAAATATTCTAGATTTTTAATTCGGGGTCTTGAATTCGCCGCCTCGTGATGCCATCTCGCGATGACATCCTCCCGCCCTCCGTCAACGACAATGTTCGCAATTTCCTGTTGCCCTTCCATCCTTCCCATCGCGCTCGAAATTCATCTCTCGCTTCCTCTCTCGCGAAAATATACCTTCGTCGATTCGAGGAGGCACCACTGCCTCTCGTCGCGCGACGACGACTCGCCACGACTACCACCACGCGAGACCGACTGCCGAGGGGTAACGCCCGTGCGGGAGAGATCGCGGCCGGTTCGTCTCCGGGACGAGCTCGCGAGCTCCATGACCGCGTGGCTTCCCGGGGTCGGTTCGGGTGCGAAACCGGGGCGACCGGGCCCTGGGGCCCGGCGCCGTTCGGTGCACAAGCACGACGTACGTGCGCGTACGTCCGTCCTCGGGACTGGCTGAACTCGCGCGGCGGACACGAGCACGCGCGCCGCGACGACGACCCGGCGACGATACTCGACGACGCACGTCGACAGAGTAAGCACAGCACAGCACAGCGACCACGGGGCGACGGCGACGGAGCGGAGGAGCGGTGTGCTCCGGCGCGCGAGGAGTGCTCGGCCTCCGGAGAGCGCAGTGCCGTTATCAGCGACTGTGCACGCCGGCCGGCCGCTGTGCACGCACTGAAGTACTGGACCCGAGCGTCGGGCGGAGGAAAAGAGAGGCCGCACCGGGTGAGAGCAAGAGAGACTCGGTCGACGCTCGCGACCTCGGTCGCGCTCGGCCGCCTCCGTGCCCTCCACTTCGGCCCCGTTCGGCAGCCACGCTGCTTCCCGGCGATTTCTCTCCCTCGGCCTCCGCCGCCTCCACCACCTCCACCGCCTCCATCGCCATCGCCACCGCCGCCACCGCCACCGTCGCCGCCGCCGCCACCGCCACCGCCACCGCCGATATACATGACAAGGGCCAACGAGAGAGGCTCTCACTACGCCGCGAGCTCTCGCCGCGAGAAGCCGGCTCGCCGCCACCGCCGCCTCCACCTCCGCCGTCGACGAGCAGAGAGAGAGAGAGAGAGGGAGGCAAACGGCGCGCGAGGAGAGAGGATCAATAACAGATCCCTCCCTACCCTCGCGAGGACGCGACGTACGCACGCATTTACACACGGACAGGAGTACGGACGGACGGACGGACGGACGGACGGACGGACGGACGAGCGAGCGAGCGAGCGGGCGAGCGGGCGTGCCCCGCAAATTTCTACAGCCCGTTTTCCCCGGGGCGGATTTACCCTGTGCGATACGATTTCGGCGGTCGTAAGGCAGGTGTAAACGCATACGCCCGGCCGCCTATCGATCCTGAAGGGATTTCGCGAAGGGCGCCGGCTCTCAACGTCGTTCGAGGAGACTCCAGCGTTTCGCCAAATTTATACGCGGAGTCGGCACTTCCGGCCTGAGTATATTCGTCAGATCCTAATAAATTGTAATAAATATCGTAATAAATATTGAGTAAATGTCTGTCAAATTATTTGAGATATCGGTAGAATGAAATATTAGAGAGACTGTATTTGTTGCGCAAAATGGAGCAGACGCTCCGAGTGGATGGCGAAAATCGCCCGACCGATGAACAGGTGAACCGACGGGTGATTTCTGGAATGGACAAAAATCTACTCGAAATACGACGGGTGAAACGGACCGACTGGCGAATATAACACGCGTCAAGGAATACCGTCTGAAAATATCTCCGTCGCGTACTCACATTCCAGAGAGTTGCGCGAAAGAGACGTCAACTTCACATAAGAGATATTTCATTTAATCGCCATTTTAGGGACCTTTATAGATTCGGTTGCGTAAAAAACATTACTGTTATTAACAGTAAAAATGCGAAACAGCCGTTGCAGTAGCCGTTAAAATAAAATAATTACGCTATAATCTTCCGATTCTAATAAATTACCTTGAATGGAGTTATACAAGTCTCATTTAATCGAAATTGTGGCACGTCTATGATTCGAGAGGAAAAATTTGAAAGCGTCGTCGATCAGCAAACATTGACTGCAGAGCGACAGCTTCATAATGATATAATCACTCAGTCGAGATCTGTGTAATGATATAATCGCTGGAAACTCTGGTAATGTGGCGCGTTAATGAGAGAGGAGAAGAAAAACGACCGTGTCAATTCGCACGATCACGAGAATGAACATTCATATTTCGGTAAGTGGCCGTTTATTGACGTTCCGCTTCGTGCTCTTCATACACAGTGCACGAGTGCGCTCGATTTTGAGATTAGCATGCAAGTGTGTGCTGATGTGGCGAAACACCCGGGAGAGCCTAATGATCGCGCTATAATTTATTATGAGAGTGCCTTATTAACGGCACGGGCTACGAATTATTGATTTATAAATGCGAATTTATAGATTCCAGCGATTAACCTATCGCACTCAGCAAAATGTATTTTTAAAGCAGGTAATAAGGGTCACATCGACATTTTCATAGACGATCGAGCCGTCAAAAATACGTAGTAACGGCGTGAGTAACGCTAACGCGAGCCCCGAGAGGCTAGCCCCGTTCAATCAGGTAATGACTCTTTTCTCTTTGTCTTGGTTTCGTTTATCTTTATTTACACGAACCCAGGAGACGCGAGGAGATCTCTCCTCGTTTCGAGCGAGTGGCGGGAAATTTTGGAGAGTGCATTGCGCGTGCACCGAATAGCGCGCAACTCTTCTTGATCATCAATATCGGGCATTAAACCGCGACGAGTGTTGCGTCTCTGCTAGGTCGAGTCGTAAATAGCTATCGACCAAGACGACAAATACGAATTTTTTCAACTCGCTCGCGGGAAGAAGTAGATAAGCAGTCTCCACCAGTTGGAAGCACGAGTCGTCATTAATAATGACAAATAAACGTATCACGGCTCGTGCTTCACCGTGCGATACTTCGCACGTGAAGATCGATTTTAAAGAAATTGACAGAGAGAGAGAGAGAGAGAGAGAGAGAGAGAGAGATAACTTTGGAATTCGCGATTACTTTCTTTCGGTCTGAAGGAAGGTGCGATCCATTCCGGACATCTTAAATATCTTCTCCCTCTCGGTATCATCTTCGATAAAAGGACCACGGTCACAGTCTTCGAATTATTTATTAATTGGCAACTACACGGCCAGAGCATCGCTGTTTTTATCCAGAGACGACGAGGCGCGAGATCGCTCGAATTCGTCAAGGGTGGATCCACGATTGGAACCGGATTACGTCACACGCGCGCACGTCCGTCTCTCAGCCTCGTCCTGCCGAGGCTGGTTTCTCTCTCATCCGCCCTCGCGGATGACCGTGAGATGCACGCGGGAGAAGGAGGAGAAGGAGGAGGAGGAGGAGGAGGAGGTGGAGAGCGAGTCAAGGTGAGATTCCCGCTGGGACAATCGACGATGGGGAAAATAACGGTGCGTTTTCAGCGCACCCTCCACCCCGAGGGAGAGAATGTAGCTGTATTAACGCGCGATTGCCCTTGCAGCTATAAGAAGACCCGACCCGTGTCCTCCCCCTTGCACGTACAGCTGCAATTGGTCGCGCCATTGAAATACCTCGTTTTCTTTCTCTCGCTCTTTCCCGCTCGTTGTAATGCTCCTCTCGAGGAGCGGCACGAGATGCCTCCTGCCGCAAACTGCAAGTCGCAGACCTTGAGGACCGACAGTGACGCGCTCGAGGAATTATGCATGTCGCTCACTCGGCCGATCGTCGACGCGTTCTGCGTCCTCTTGGATCGCTCCGAACATCTCCCTTAGCGATTTCGACAACTTTGTCGAAACTCTGCACGGCGACACGGTGATATATCGAGCAGTCGCCGACGAAGGCAATCGGCATCGCAACGTAATCCGCTTCCTCGTCGCGAAGCGTGTCGCCCGACGACGGTCGCGCGTGATAACGCGCAATTTTCAGCAAAAGTTACACGGAAGTTGGGTAATCATCGGCCGATAGGAAGTCACCGGAGGATCGCGGAACAAAAGCGGGGAAGAAAAAAGAGGAAGAGAGAAGTTATTTCGTGTCGATCGCGTGTCGCAATTTCAGGCGTCCGTCGCGAGACGCGAGTGCACACACACACACGCATCGTACGTTCGTACGTGAAACGACGGAAACGTTTTTCCGATTTAACTCATCATGACTGGCGGGGCTTTATCATCGCCGGCTGGATTACGCGGCAAATTATTGGTTCTGTCCGATGCGGCGACGAAGGAGAAAAAAAAAACGTTATCGCCGTGAATTATAGTCATTCCCTACCGCTCGATATTGCAATTACCGATCATAATGTATATTTGTATGTGTGAGAGAGAAAGACGGGAAAGAAGGAGGAGAAAGAAAGAAGGTAAAGAGAGATGAGAGGAAGAAGTGAAAGCCTCATTGTAGCGCGAAACGTTTGAAAACTCCAAGTGGAAATTCGCTCCCGAGGGACAAACGTCCGCGGAGAAATCTGCGCGATGAATCTCCCGCGAAGGCAGCACGTGACGCAAATTTTTCACGGTGACTAACGACGCATCGAAACCACGAGTCTCAATGCACGTCCGCACACTCACATGAGGATATAAGTCTCGAACTACCGCCGGGCTTAATTCTACGTGATAGTCATCGAGGCTTCCTCGACGAGAGACGATCCTTAGCAACGAGCATCAAACGTTATTTACCGCGTCTTTCCAATTTTAATTAATACTTGTTAATACTTGTTTTATCTGGCGAATACATCGCGATAACTAATTATATCTATATATTACGTATATATATAGGATCCGTCAACGAAAACTTTCCAATTCCAATGTCACAGGATAACACCAGAAATGCTTAAAAATAGCAATTTTGAACCAAGGCCTTATATGGAGGTTGGTGGAAGGCACTTTGAACATTTAATAAAATAAATCTTTCTCTAAATTGTGAATTATTTCAATTTTTCATAACCAAAATTTCCAAATGCGATTTTCCAAAAAATATTCACTCAAATTTGACAAAATAAATACCGTTGCGAAGAGAATTAAAATAGCTTTGAAGTGATATATTACTTGATCCTTATTGCTATTTAAGATCTCTGGAAGGGTAGCTATTCCAATTAAGGGGTGAGTTAAATTATAGTTAAATTTATCACAATCGTATAGCCTTCTTTAAAACAATATTGACATGTATTGGACTTTTTTACAAAAATCAATTGGGTACAGAATAATCGGAGTGGAAAGTTTTTGTTGGCGTAGACTCTGTATACAATTATTATCGGTATTATATCGGGTATTATATATATATATATATACATATATATACGTATGTATATATATGTATAGACTTCCGGAACCAAAGTGACGGCGTTACAGAAGTTACATCAGGGTTTCGCGTGTCTATAATGGTTTACATAACTATTCATGAACGCACAACGACCGACGGAGTCATGTGCGCTTCGTTGCTGTACGTACAGTTTGTGTACATGTGTGCGTGTGTACGTGCACAGAGCCTCGAGAAAAATAACGTTCGACGGTGTATTTTATAATTTTGCTCGACGTCACGGATAGCGTATAATACAGTACGCGCGCTACTCGCTCGCGAGCCGCACACGCGGGGCTAATAAGAAGATACTGCTCAATTTCCCGTCGAAATCAGCTTTTTACTGGGTTAACCGTGGGATACTGCTGATGAATAAACTATGAGCGTGACGGCACGCCACGGCCTCACGTTAAATT